AAGCCTATATGTCAGCCTCCAAACTATTCAATAACCACCCCACAATGCTCTGAGATAAACAGCTGCAAAGATTCACAACCTTCAGAAGAGATTTCTCAGTTCCACTTTAAATGGAAGACGATCACCTTATTTTTAAAAAAGGTATGCCCCCCTAATTCTGGATTCTGTTAGGGACCAGACCACATCCCCCCCCAAAAGTATATTAAGGAGATAGCCTAGACGCAACTTTTGTATTTTTTTTCCAAAACACATGTGTAAGGTGCTGTGTTCCAGAAATGATTCAGCTGGCCCACCACTAAGTTTTAATTAAAATACACTTGATTCTTACAACACAGTTAAAATACAACAAAAAGAACTGGTGTAACTATTGAAATACTTAACAAGATAATGGATCATTTAACCAGTAAACACTAACTGTTTCAATATAGGCAGCGTCCCATAAACATACACGTGGCAAAGGCAATTCAGCAACACAGTTATTATCCTCGTGCTCTCTCTCTCTAATCCAGCAGAAAGAAACAGCCCCTTTTGCTTTTATTTTTTAAAAAAAAAAAGAGGAAACCTCTAAGGCTTCACTCCAGCAGCAGAGAACTCAAGCTTTCAGCTCCAGTAGCCAGCAAAAACGTACTTAACTAACTGAAAGCAAAACCAAAGTCTTCTGGGTCTGTGTCAGCCTGATTCCATCCACTCATGATTCATTTGTCTTAGTTTTTAAAAAACCCAGGGAAGTTTACCAACTGCCTGTCTGAAGGAGATACTTTGGTACCAATGTAACAATACCTCTCTGCAAGAGAAGCAGCATAGTACTCTTATACTCTTAAAAGGTACATTGTCACAATTCCTCTCAGCATCAACCCTGTCAAGTTTCTCAGAATCCGTTTAAACAAGATTCCTCTTCTATTAAACTTTAAGTGTGGCCTAACTGGAAACTTTCCTCTTAAAATAATCCGTTTATCCTTGAATCAACCTAGTGAGTCTTCCTTGAAGTGCCTTCAATGCAATAAAACTTCTCTTGACTTAAAGAATCCAAAAACTTTTTCCACAGTATTTAGCAATACTTTCAATGTCCTGTATATTTACTTGTGATAATTGGAATGAAGAGTCTGATGATGACCATGAATCCGTTGTCAATTGCCAGGTAAAACCCATCTGGTTCACTAATGTCCTTTAGAGAAGAAAATTACCATCCTTACCTGATCTGGCCTACATTTGACTCCAGACCCACGGGAAGGTGGTGGACTTGCCCTCTGGGCAATTATGGATGGGCAACAAATGCTAGTCTAGCCAGCGACATCCTCATCCCATGAATGAATAAAAATATTTTCTCACACTGTGCTAAAATTTGGCAGATGGCATACACTTGGTCAAACTTTCTTCAAGCCTTTGAAGTCTCTTTGCCTAACTTGCTGAAACTAACTTTGCCCAAATTACTGAATCAGCAGAAAATTTGGCTACAATGCATACCATCCTTTCAGCCAAGTTATTAATATAGAATTCAAACTGGTTGAAGCCACAGCATCGACCTCTGGTCAACCAGTTACAGGTTACCAACCTAAAAATAATTCAAAATACTGCAGATACAAGATTTCTTTTTCTGTTAATTCTTTTGTGGCATGGGAGCATCATTGTCTAGGCCAGCATTTATTGCCAGACTTGATTACCCAGAGGGAAGTTAAGAGTCAACCACAGTGCTTCGTGCCTGGAGTTACATATAAGCCAGACCAGGTAAGGATGACAAATTTCACTCCGAGGGACATTAGTAAGGACAGTTTTTATTCAAGATTTTTCATAAATTTGAATTCCACCACCTGGAGAAGTGGGATTCCCGACATGCCCCTACAGCATTAGCTTGCGGTTCTGGATTACTAGCCCAGTGAATGCAACTATGCCATCACTTCCCCATAATCCTCTTATTTGACATGATGTGGTATTTAAATCGAAACAAAATACTTTTTTAAAAAGTCTGCCTAAAAAAAACTATAACATCAGCAAAACCTGTTTAATACAACCCAGTGAGGATCAGAAGGAAGTTACTATTTATGAGTACATAGCCTTTGTCAAGTGTAGACGAGTGCAAGTTTGAAGGGACTCTAACTAAAAGTAATCAACAAGCTCCTTTCAAACAGCTACAAATCCAGCTCCCAAAGAAGTGAATATTCATTCCAATTTAATTCTGAAGTCCAGAATACTATAGATTGTGAGATCTATGGAATTTCTCCTGCATTCACTTGACACTAGCTTTACATAGAACTAAAATAGGAATGTCAGTCAAGGAGCAATGGATGAGCAAATTACTGTACATGTCTAAAATCTGAAGTAAAAACAGAAAATGATGGAAATGCTCAGGAGGACTAGCAACATCCGAAGAGACAGAAATAAAGTTAACATTTCACATCTATGGACATTTAATAGGCTCATGAAACTTCATTGATAGGAAACGTTATCTCTGTTTCTCTTGTCAGGAGTCACTGAGCTAAGGCACTGGAAATTGAGCCCCATTATTCCTGAAGTTACTAAAAGTGCGAATATTTAGTTAAACTGCCCAAAATTCCAATTTGCCTTTGACTGAATTATACCTAGGACAAACATACCACAGTTCTTCAGTAACAGTAAAAGTGTTATTTATTTTACTACAATTAAATTATAAATGCTTTTTAAAGTTAAGGTACATCAAACTTCATTTTTTAAAACATTCCCCAAGTCATGAAAAAGAAACTGGAGAGCACAATTTTGTAAAATTAAAACAGTTAGTAACACAATTCTTTTGATTCTCACGGTGCCATGACTTTTATCTACCTAGTGATGATCAATCAGTCTTTAGTTCACTAGTAGGAAAGGGGGACCTTTTTCCTCCAGGTTGTCTCTGAATGGACTTTCTCTGTTCTTTCAACAAAATTGGACAGAAAGGAAAAGGGAAGGAAGGGCAAGATATTGAGGAAGCTAATTTTTGGAAGTTGCTTTGCTTTTCTTATTTCCACAGCATTTGTATCAAGCTGCAATCTGACCAATCCCAGAGTTGTTACTATGCTGAGTCCTCCTGCCGGTACCTCAACTCAAATGTCCCCAAGTAGTAATGTTGTCTTATATGTTAGCTTCCCTTGCTTCCTGCGCTCCCCCAACTGCAAATAGTTTGTTACATAATCTCCCTGTTAAAGGCAGTGTCCATTTTTCTCATTTTCAGTCCTTATCCAAAACTAAACAGATGTGGTCTCTTGCACTCTGCACAAATCTGGGTATTTCCATTTATTTTTAGATCAAAGAAGCTCAGTTAGCTCTAGTACACCGCAAGCCTCAAGACAAGGAGAAATCTGATTATTGCTGGTTAGAATGAGAGAATTTCATCATCAGGTCCAAACCGATCACAGTCCAGCCTCAGATATTGTTTATAATCCATCTCAAACTGTAGCTGTCGAAAATTATACCCACTGAGCTTCATAATGGGACAAATTCTCTAAGATATTTAACCATGGCCTTACTGAACAACCATCTCTCCTAATTCTACATAAAGGCACATTCTCCTCACCACCAACACGCCCTCCTCCAGACCCCACAACTCTCAACCTTGCTTATGCAGCTGATAGCACATTGCTCCTTCACTGACCACTACATTCCAAACATACCCCTGTATATGCTTCAACTTAGCCCTGCATAAATGGAGCAGCTCCTTGAATCAAATCACAGAATCCCTACAGTGCAAAAACAGGCCCTTCGGCCCAACAAGTCCACACCGAACCTCAGAGCATCCCACCCAGACCCATCCCCGTATAACCCACCTAATCTACACCTCCCTGAACACTACGGGCAATTTAGCATGGCCAAACAACCTAATCTGCACATCTTTGGACTGTGGGAGGAAACCGGAGCACCCGGAGACATGGGGGAGAACGTGCAAACTCCACACAGACAGTCACCCGAGGCCGGATTCGAACCCGGGTCCCTCGTGCTGTGAGGCAGCAGTGCTAACCACTGTGCAACCGTGCCGCCCCCCAAATCATGCCTAATTTCATTGGCTGAAGCTTCGCTTGCCAAGCCAAAATAACTGGGATGCTGAGGGAAAATGCCCCATCAGTTTCAGTACTTGTTCCACGATCTGATCTCCAAAAGACAAGACCATTGTTAAGGCTTTAAACTGCAGTATACATAAAACTGGTTTGGTGGGGGGGAGGGAGAGAGGGAGAGAGGGAGAATGAAGGAAAACACAAAACAAAGCTCACTGTTTTACGTGTACTCCACTGATGAATTAAGATTTTAGACATGAGCCACCTCAAATGCACTTTTTAAACCAGATAACGTACCACTGATGGCAATTGCATGATTTAAGTGGCTCCAGCACAAAGTAAAGATAAAAAGAACAATAAAAACAAGGCACAAAGACCAGCCAGATTCAAAAGAAAGTGCAGAACATGTGTTAGACCTACTTGGCTTGTTGGTAGGCGAAGGAGTATAATACCAGAGAAATCCTAGACAAGTGCACTTGCTCATAGGTCTTTTGTTAAAGCACAGGTCTCCTAAGACACTATCTGTATTTGTAAACATGCTTGTCGAGCCGGTGTGTTTGATTGCAGATGTTTCGGCACTCTGCTAGGTAACGTCGACAGTGCACCTCCGGTGCAGCATCAGTGTTCTGTCCTGCTCATTATTTATGCACCTTGGTTTGCTGGGGTAGTTGGCATCACTTCCAGTTCTGTTTTTCAGTGGTTTGTATATCAGGTCCAGTTCAATGTGTCTGTTGATGGGAGTTCCAGTTATGCCAGGCCTCCAGGAATTTCTTGGCATGTCTGTGTTTGGCTTGCGCTATTACAGACGTGTTGTCCCAGTTGAATTAGTGTCCTTCTTTCTCCACGTGTATGGAGACCAGTGAGAACTGGTGGTGTCTCTTGGTGGCCAGTTAGTGGTCGTATATCCTTATTGTCGGTTTTCTTCCAGTTTTGCCTATGTAATGTTCCTCACAGTCCTTGCATGGTGTTTTGTATATTACTTTAGTAATATTGGTTGTGGGTATGGGATCCTTTACATCCGTCAGTAGCTGCCGCAGGGTGGTTGGTGGTTTGTGGGCTACCCTGAAACCCAGGGGCCTGAGTAGTCTGTCGTCATTTCTGGTATGTCTCTGATGTATAATAGGATGACTAGTGTGTCTAGCCCAGTTACATCTTGTTGCGGTCTGTTGCGGAGGTAATGGCGGATTGTGCTTTTTGGGTATCTATTCCCTTTAAAAACTCAGTATACGTGCTCCTGTTCTGCTTTGTGCCATTCTAGGTTGCTGCGGTGTATTATGGCTTGTTTGAATAATATCCTGATGCAGCTCAGTTTACGGGTGTTGGGGTGGTTGCTGGTGTAATTAAGTACCTGGTCCATATGGGTGGTCTTTCCGTGTATGTTGGTCTGGAATTGCCCATTGTTCTTACGTTCCACCATTACGTCTAGGAAGGGTAGTCGGCTATTGTTCTCTTCTTCTTTTGTCAACGTTATTCCAGTGAGGATGTTGTTTGTGTGTCAATGTCTTTCTTCTAGTCTTGTGCATTTGATAATCACAAAAGGTGTCATCTACATAGCAGACGCAGAGTTTGGCTTGTATAGTGGGGAGCCCTGTCCATTCTAACCTTCGCATTACTGCTTCTGCAATCAGTCCTAATATTGGGGATCCCACTGGTGTTCTGTTGGCTTTGTTTGAATATACAGTCGTTGAAGGTGAAGTGGGTTGTGAGGCAGAGATCCAGCGGTTTCAGAGTGCTGTCCTTGTTGATACTGTTGGTGTCGTGGGGTGTGTGCCTTCCTGATTCCTTCACTGTGGCAATTGTCTCTTTGGCTAGATCAATATTTATGGATGTAAATAGTGATGTTACGTCAAAGGATTTCATTATCTTGTCCTCTTCTATTCTGGTATCTTTGATAATGTTGAGGAATTCTTGGGAGGAGTGGACGAAATGGATAGTGTTGTCTACTAAATATTTCAGTTTCCATTGTAGATCTATTGTCTCACCACCAGATATGCCAACATATTGAATAGTCAAAGAACGACAACAGAAACGGAATCAAAATACACTGGTGGCAAGCAAGTCTACAACCTCATCCACAACCCAAGCTACAAACCTTCTCAAAAACTTTGAACACTATCTGTTGTGACTGGAACGGCCAGGTGGAGCTCATTGACCATGAAATCCTTGATCGGGATTGTTAACCTGGGCCAATCAGGGAGCCCTGCCTAACAGATATAAACAGGAGATTCAGACAGTCTCCTCATTCTCGGGACTGGATCTGAGCTAGCTGGTCGGAGTCCCAGTACTATGCACGTGTAAATAAAGGTTAATTTGGTGACAAGATTCTGGCCTATGTGTAGGTATTTCACTATCAGTATAAAACTAGAATAATAGGCAAAAATGAAATCCTACTCAGAAACACCTACAAATACCGACATGCCATTACTGTAAGAACTAATAACTGGAAGAGCAACAAGAATGCAACATATTAAATCAATTTATCTCCTAGTAGTGAATGACGAAAATCAGCAGGCTCTACAAGCACTGACCTATTGGGTTTTTTTTTTTGGGGGGGTGGGGGGGGGGGGGAGGGAGGAGGAGATGTGGTGGAGCTCATTCATATGCCCTTTAAAACATGTCAATGACCTCCTAAAGCACTTACTAACAGAGCAGATTAATTTTTCATGACAATGCAACAGGAATATTAACAAGGGAATCAGAATATTCTAACGCTGTCCTTATGGTCAAGGCTGCCAGCACTGTGGACCAAGCCACGTAAAATAGTAGGACAGAATTCACTGGGCCACAACTGAAAATACACAAATTAGGAGGACCATTCCGATTGATATACTGGAGGAAGGAATGGCTGAGAACTTT